GCCCATTCATTAAAACAAAATGGCCGCCAGTCAGCCATTTTGAATTCGATCTGAAAAATATAATGATGTGCATTAGGAACCCATAATGTCTAATGTATATACGAAGTTTGAACAAAATCCATCCATAAATGCCAGAAATGTACAAAAATGGCTACCGTTCTGCCATTTTTAATATGATCGTCAAACCAATATATCTGTACATCTATGACATGATGTATAATGAATATTTAAAATTTGAACATAATCAGTCACAGCAAGTCAGAGATATGGCACTAGAACCACATTTATTAAAACAAAACATTTATTAGAACAAAAATGGTCGCCATTCGGCCATCTTGAATCAGATCGTGAAACAAATTGATGTGCATATGTATAATATCATGTATGATGTACGTGTGAAGTTTGATTGTGATTGGTCCAGGCATTTCTAAGATACAGATCTGGACGCACCCACGGACGCACAGAGATCAAAATATAAGTTCCCGTTTTCGGACTGCGTCCGAACGAAGACTAGTAATTAATATTAGTCAAATGCCCGCAGATGCATCCAGTCGGGATTTCTTTAGCGGTCAGGTTAGTGATCGCGCTAACGCTAAAAGGACTAAAACAACAATTTATTATTTCTTTTTGTAAAAGAAAAAAGAAGTCCTGACTTTGCCAGTCTAGAAGACATTACAATTGTGACTACCTCAATGAATTAATATATTCACTAACCTTTGTGTTGTCCTCCTTCTTTTACTGACTGTGGTAATGGTGTATATGGACTTGTTGGTGGTGACTGGCTTTCTTCACCATCAAACTAAAAAAGTCAAATTTGTGTGTACCATAATTTGATAAATGTATAGTAATACTATGAGGTTATCACACGATATTCAGTTTGTAGAACTGGTTGACACAAAATACATAGTACCGATAGCTCCATAAATGAGTGATATCAGGTGATAATCTTTTTATCACATGATCAACTACAAGAAATCTGCAAAACTAATATACGCTAATTAGATATGCCGTCTAAGCATGTTGATTTTAAAATCAGCATAAATATTTCCACTGTGTATTAAATTAATTTGGCCACATTCAATATTAATGGTAATGATGATATACAGCTTGAAGGTGATTATAGCATGAACAGTTACAGCTCTGACACGTCACTGGACAAGGAACAAAATACAGTATGCATGACATTCACACATACATTCATCGCAAATCTGCTTACCATTTCTTCAGGTGGTTTCACTATTTTCATATATGATCCAACTCTTTTGGCTTCACACCTTTCATTATAAGACACGGGATTGGAATCTAGAAATTTTAAGTTAGGAAGTCTGTACAGAACAAAATATCTGAAATGAAAGGAACAGAATGTCAAGACAGCTATCAAATACTTATTTATTTACTACTCAGATTAAAAGGAGAAGAACCCCAATAGGAATTTGGATGGTCTGGTTCTTAGAAGGGCTAGACAGGAAAGCACAAAATTTTCTTTATTTACGAATGAAAGCTAAATTGTAGGCCAGTTGGTTTTCTATTGCATTTCAATAAAACAGTTAGAAATACAAGCATCACTTGCAAAAAATTGTTTTTTAAATAGAAGGGGGATTACATTTGCTTTGTTCTTATGTGATGATGAGGCGTGAAACAAATTCTAATTAAGGTGTGAAACCTATAGTTACCTGTATCGTTGGTAGTCCTCTTCATCTTTATCTGGTGCTGAAAGCTCATTGGGGCAAGCTATGTTGCCAAGGAGACTAAGGTATTCTAAAGACGGTAAATTTTCTCGAACTTTGTCCACAAAGGCGTCAATATCTGTAATGTAGTCTTGGTTAAGAAAATCACATCTGTTATAGTTGACTTTTTTTATTAACTTTTTGGATGCCAATATTTTGAAAACAAAAAACATTTTTACCCCTGGGTATGTATTTTTTCCTGCAATTTCTTTATAATTTTTGACTAAATGAATGTTTTTTCTCATTGGCTACAGTTCTTGATAAAAAAAATCTGAAAAAATGATGTGCTATTATTTTGTGAAAGATGGCAAATAATGGTGGTCAAAAAATAAAAACAATGAATGTCACAGTCCCCGTTATTTAATTATAAAATACTCATGTTAAAATAATACATAGAACATCTGCAAACAATTGAATTAATATGTACTCTATGTGGGTACAACTCATCATAAAGTGATTTCCCTTAATCTGATAACTGAAAACTTTCATTGACCCGGGTTCAAAATCTCAGAGTACACAAGTGCGACTAAACTACGTCTTATACATGCTCAAGAAACTGCATTCATAAATCTGAGTAAACCTTGATGTACCTTTAATAACAACTTGACTTCATTGTTAATTCAGGTCTTTGTATATTACCAGGACCTGGGTTTGTTTCAGTATCACCACTATAATTCCCATCAAAATGTATCCCTGGCACCCCTTTACATTTTCTTCTGATTGGTAATGGTACGACCCAACTGTCACTGATTCAGATCAAGGTCATGACAAGGTCATGACATCACTAAAAATAGTTGAACACTGGTGACCTTGCCCTTTTTATATACAATATTTCTTTTATCATAGTTTGTTTCAATATGAATATGCATTGTTATGAATATGCATAATTAATTTTGAATACAAGTTTTGGGGTTGAAATAACAGTAGGAAAGCAGTCTACAGAATATCCTTGATAGATGTAAAAACATTGGTGCCTAATTTGTTTAATTATTTTAAGGAACATAATTTCCAGCTTTATTCAAAGTAATTCAGATATTTTAGTATAAAAATAAATGCCTCATCTCAGAAAAAAAAGTGCTGCATTTAGAGGTGAATAGATTCATAAATCATGCAAGATACCAGAAAATCATAGCTGGCTTTTGCCCAAGTATTTTGTACAGGTGTCTGTCAAAAATTAATGATTCACTGAGACAAATATGAACTGCTTATTATATTCATTGTGTGAAATACTGTATTATTTTGAAAAGTAAAATAAAACACCCTCTATCATGTTGCAAGCTCTGCTTTGTAATGCAAATCAACTTAAATAGTTAGTTGGTGTCCAGTAGAGAGAGAAGTCAACAGTACTTTGCCTCCTGAGAATCTACATCTTCAAACACTGCAATCTTTGTTTTTAAAGTGCTTTTTTAAATCATTATTATAAAAGCTCTATCATTCTGTTCTAATAGCTGAAATTCAAATTCCTGTGAATTTTCATTTGTCGAATGAACTGTTTGTCAAATACAGAATACCTATTTTTGAGAAAAATTTTCTTTTCAAAATGTGGATGCAACGTTTTGCTTTTTATGTATTGTTTTTGATTTGATAACTTTGGATTAAACACATTTTCTATTAGCCGCAGATCTTGATCAAAGTTTGGCACCCAATTCATAGGAGTGCTTATATTGACTTTCTGACATCTTGTTTTCTGTAAAGATTTTAGGTTTGCAAATGTGTATCAGACTGTGCAAAAACCCAGTCTAGTAATCCCATGGGATTTGGGAGATACATTACCAAGGACACAGAAAACAATGCATATTTCCACGGAGATCAGTGACCTTTGAATGTGTATCATCAGTGATAAGCCAAGTAGAAACAGTCAAAATATTTTATCAGATTTTCTCAATTTTTGCATGATATTTTCATACAGGACATCTGTCGATCATACTCAGGGAAGACTTTATACTGATGAATAAGGTGACCAAGTTTAATAAAGTTTGGAATAGAATTAGTAAAGTTATTGTGCACACAATAACAATTATTAACGATAACGCCGACAGAAATTTTTCCCTTAATATACCTTTCCCTTCCATCTTTGATGTTACATATGAAAATTGGTGCTTACAAGTCTTAGTGGGGGATTTGGATTATAACACGATCTAAATCCAACGTTAAGCCTATAAACGTTCCATTGTTTTTAGTGCCAAACCCCTTTGTTAAGTACAACAACAAATATTTCGTTGGTGTTTGTGAGCTCTTGTGTGATTGGTCAATGCATGGACAGCTCTTCCACTTCCGTGTTTTACTCCCTATCAATTTGG